CTACGGTAACTAGCGTTAGTTGCACTACTCCACTACTGCTACCCCGCTGCTAACTTACACGGTGCACGGTTAAGTACAAAGGGAACTACTGGAGTTAGCAAAGGCTCCGACCGAGCACGCTCTAACTCCAATGTCTGCCCTGGGCTGTCCCAGGCAAGAAGCTTCTCTTCATAAGACTGTGTAGCTGCAAAACAAATGTAAGCATTAAAATAATAAACAAACAAACGAAAACCAGAAAGCAAAATAAAACCCAACAAAGAAGTACAAACACACACAGCCCCAACCCCTGTCAGCACACTGAGACATCAGCAACCTCTACCTGCTCTCCTGCCTCTGTCACCCGGCAGCTGGGCTGGGCACTGCTCAGAGGGGACCACCCTGGCACCGGTGCAGGAGACCCCTCAAATCCGAGCACAGGAGGAATTGTACTAATGCTGCTGGAGGTAGTTTGAGGGTTACCTGAAACACTGGTCAGAGTAGTGACAGAGCAGCATGAGGGCAAGTACGAGATGCAAGTGCAAGGGAAAGGAAGCAGGGCATCCACATCACTGCAAATCTCAACTCAGAGGGGAGCGGGCTGGGAGGACGCTGCTCTGCTTGGCTGAGAAGTGATTTGTCACTCCGCACACCAAGCAGGGCCTTCCTACGAGCAAGAGGAAGGAGTTAATAAGGAAGCAGCGATGGACATTTCACAGCAAAAAGGACTTCAGAAAATATCATTTCCCTTCCGTTCTGGCTGGACAAAACACTTTTCCCATTGCACCTCAGGAACCAGCAGGCTGACATCCTTAGAGCTACTTCAAAAATAAGTCACAGAGAGGCTCCGACTGCTGCACCACATGAGGTACTACTGGTTCTGTGTGCAAGGAACCAGGGAAGGAAGACAGGAGACAGAAGAGGGCATGCCTGTTCCTTCCTTCCCAGAATGACCTGAACAGAATTAAATACTCCAGACGTTCCCAACTCACATTAAGGATCCTTCCGTTATAGCTTTAATTAGTCAGGCGGCTAGTTTGGTAAGTTGGTGTAGGGGGAAAGGTTGGGCATCCCACCTAGATGTTCTCCAACCTACAAGCTTTTTTCATCCATTTTCAGATTTTTTTCAGCCACAGGCTCCTCTATGGAGGCAGCCAATTCGGGAGGGGTCAGGCAGACAGTACCATAACTGGCAGACTAACCGTGGTACCAGCTGAGCTAGCAAGACAGACACACAAGGTAAAGCTCACAACAGAGAAATGCCCCTCAGAGCCAACATTATCCAAGGATTTTCACTCAGAGCACCTGACAATGGATTCAGAAATGCTGAGGGGTTTTCCAGCAGCCACAGCCTCCCTTCCAAAGCATCCTTGAAGCAGTCTGTAAAAACTGATTTTCATTCCTTTTGTACTTCCTGAGCACCATCCACCTCTGGCGTGCTCAGGAGCTCTTGACAAGTGAGTCTGAATCCAGCCTCACACATTCCACTGATCCCATTTACCACAAGGAAAACTAAGAGATGCAGTGACTTGCCCGAGGAAACCCCAAAAGGCAGTGTCTGCAGAGAACTCCACATCTGGCCCACATGAAAGCAAGGGAATGAAATTAGCTAGGATGAGGTTCTGGGTTTTGGGTTGGTTTTTTGTTGTTGTTTATTGTTTGTTTTGGGGTTGGTTTTGGTTTTTTTTTTCCAAAAAGGGAAGGAAAGGTTTGGAATTTTTCAATGTGCAAAGAAGGGTATTTTACAGGAAGGGAGATGATTTCTTTTTATTCTGGAGTACTGGAAATGAAAAATCAACGTTCTGGAGGGAAGTTGAGGAAAAAAACTTGGGGTTGAGGAAAAAACTTGGGGAAGGAGAAATGGGAAAGGTGAAGGGAGAGGTGGGAAAAAGATGCCGTGAAGCACTGCACCCCCTGGACTTACTGGCTGAGAAACAGAGAGAAAGCTGGGACTGCATGGACTCAGTCTGTGTTTTGCTCTCACTGTGCCTCCGTCCTTCAAGCACTGAGCTGCCGTCCCCGGTGGAGAGAGGGGGAGCTAGCATGGCAGGGAATTAAAACACAAACACAAACAAAACACGCAAATTCAGAAGTTCAGTAAATAAAAAAAGAGAAAGGAAATAGGAGAACATTAAAGAAACCACAATGCTGGGCACAAAACATGCAGGAGTATCCTCCAGGGCAAAGCCAAGTAGACAGCTCCACAACATGGACCTGCTGTGCAATTCAGAATGACAGAGAGTTGGGGGGGGGAGCACTGCCTTTAGCCTCACCACAGTAGAAACAACATATCCCTGAGGCAACTGTCACTCATGGAGCAAGACAATGTCTCCTACACCACAGCAGAATAGATCTGTGTAACCTGTTGTCTATTGAAAATAAGAACTTGGCAAAGGAATTACGCAAACACTTCCCTTTTCCCAGAGTCATGGCTATGCAGAACACAGAGAACTCCAACACCCCCAAACCTTTTGGTCTATTTAGTTTTGCTTGAGTGCTTGCTTAGCTTAAAATATGGAGAGGCAGGAGTTGGAAAGGAACACTAGTAAACACTACTACACTTAGAAGTGAAGCACTAAAATTACCAGAGCTGGCCATAGCACAAACCATTACTGTGCAAGCTCCTTCCCTCCCAACCACCATTCAAATGCTACCTTCTATTAAAATCATAACAAAATTTTCTAACCTCTGTCAAAAAAACCTCAGTTTTGATCTGCAGCAATGTAGGCCTATACAATTCTTCATAGATTTAGCCCTGGGCAGCTGCCCTCCTTCCCCCACACCTTCTGTTCCAGTCCTGGCCTTGCTCTCCTCATAGCATTTGTATTCCTGACTGCCAGGACCCGTTGGCTCAAGTGATTCAAGACTGGGATCTCTCTTGAACAAAAGCTGCCAAAGGAGACAAGGCTCTGGAAAAATACCTGTTCTGGACAGATATCCAGCAGAGATTAGATAAATCAATTTCATTACCACACCACCAAAACCATCTAGTTCCCTTCCATTAAAGCTAGGTTCTTAAAGCATGGATTACTCTTTAGCCAAAAGATAGGAGCTAGAATACTGTCCGGTAATGAGGTCAGGCCTTATCTGAAACCATCTGTATTGCAGAGTTCATTCACTCACTGGCATGTGTGTCTGCTCCCTGTGACTCCTCAGAAGAGGAGCCAGCAACTTGTGATAAGCCATGGGAAAAGCAGCATGAACTAGCCCAGCTGACACTGCTGCTACACCACACAGGGTCAGCATTGATTTTTCCCTGGGTATGTAACTCGGATTGACTGCAGGGAGAATGAGAATACCTCTGCCTCAAAATGCAAACTGTTAACACATTTGCCTCAGAATGCAACCTGCATTCACCCATCCCAAACCTCTCATTCAGGAAATTGTCTGCTTCTCCTTCTTTAGGGAGGTCAGGAAAAGGACAGTGGCTCAAACAACGTGAACAGATATGGGACTCAGAGCTCCTTCATCTAAAGAATTTTACAAGCACAATATTTATGATGTGGTCACTGAAAGGTATGAAATCTCTTCTCAGCCTCTCCCTCTACTGATATCTCAGTCGAGGACATGAAAAATCATTTTCTTCAGAGATGACAGGCTGAGAATGATCTTCATCTTAGAAACAAAAATAGATCCAAAGAGAAAAAAATAAAAGAAGGAAGTGTGTGTATGTCACTAAAGAGATTCCCAGAAAGGTGAGAGAAGGGAGACTGAGCAGTAACAGAGAGGTTTCAACTCCCTGTAACCTACAGGGATGCAGAAAAACACAACCACACTCCAAACCTGAAGGGACTAGTAGGGATTTTCCAAGCCTAGAATGGACTGGAGATGAACAGATATTTGCAAGAAAAGAATTCAAACTCTTGACACAAAAACAAATTAGCTCAGGGCAAACAGTGTTTATATGCCACAGAGGCCAAGTCAGCTGGTTCCCCAGAGCATGGTCCCACTGTGACAGGAATGACAGCGTCATGGTGAATTTATGCACTGAGTCAGACACAGAAATTTGGGAAGCTACTTCAAGGCAATGATCAAAACTCCAGGATCCCCTGCCTGCACTTAACTGTATTAGAAATTACAGGCAAAACACCTACCTTTCAGATCCTCATCTTCCGTCGTGGTGTTACAGCTCTCTGTGGAACCCTGCACAGCAGAACAGAGCATTACCAGGCATCAGCAGTCGGGAGCATGAGTAAATAGTTTCATTTGTTCGTGAAGGAAGATGGGGAAAAGCACAAAAATATTGGCAGGGATGGCAGAGAGAGGATGATACAAGGAAGATTTGTATGGAAGCAGGCCAAATATTAAGCAAAACTTAACAGCATCTCTGCTCAGCTTTTGCATGTTTAAGCTGTTCAAGCCATCCACCCAGAACTTTTACAAGGACAGAGGTTACAAAATTCTGTCAAATGAGATCAAATGTGAGTTGCTTCTGTTTGGAAGAAGAATAGCCACAAGAAGCTAAAGAAGGGCTCCTAGGCTTTCTCAGAGGAACAGGTCTCCATTTCCAGAAGAAAACAAAAAAAGTGCATAAGTGCCTGTATCTTCTCTTCCACCCCACATATGAAAGAGAGTGGTGATTACACACCACAGTAGGAAAGAGATGATAGTATTTGAACAGTTGTCCCTACTCAATCTCTTCCAGAGATCCACAGCCATACAACACAACCTTCCCAGTGTACTACCAGCAGTATTCAGGAGCATACTACAAACCAGACATTGGAAGGGTAGAAGCCAAAGTAAGACACACTAAAACAAGAACGACAAGAGAGCAGCAGAGGTTTCTCTGGCAACACTCCCATCCCTTACCTTTATCCCATCTGTAGCATTATGGACAACAGTTGTTTGAGGCTCCTAGGAAAGGATGGAAGAATCATTAAACTCCTGTTCCAAAGCATTCTCTGATTTCTTTTCACTCCCCAGCAAGTGGAGAAACGGTGACTGACATTAAAAAAAAAAAAAAAATAACCAAACCACAAACTCCACACAGCACACGTGTGCTTGCGTGCACGAGCACACACTTCCTGCACAGAAGGTTTCCTGAAGAGAGAGACTGCACTAAAAGCTACAGTCACACAGTTGCAAGGAGACAAAGCCCCCAGCTTCCCTGTAATTGCCCCTAATTCCCAATTTGCCTCCAGTGAACCAGGCCGGCACAAACACCAAACAGCAACTGAGCAGCCAGTCTGCACCCTCTGCAGCTGCTCATGAAGTAATGAATCCTCAGCAGCATCCTCACTGGAAAATATTTCAGAAGAGGGAGAAGGGGAGGAAAGGATAATACTGGGCTGGGGCCTTTGTCTCCCAGGTTTTTTCTTAAAGTTTTCTGGGTATTTTACCCTAAAAAAGGGACATTCATAATTTCAATAAAAAGGGGATAAGCCAGACCACCTCAATGCCTCTCAAGAGAGGAGTTGCTAAGGAAACTGGGCCACAAAAAAAGGCACATTTTTCTAAAAGTCTCTAAAAAGAGATCCAATTTAAACAATAACAACAATAATTAATAATTTAGGCTCTTCCAGTATCAAAACCGTAATGAACCAAGTTAGTGAAAGGAAGGCAGAAAATTATGAAGTGTCCCAAGAACCCTTTGCCCTACACAACAAACATCTCCCCACTCCCCAAAAAATGCCAAATCCACCTCTCCAGAGACACACAACAAAGAGCAGCTACCAGGTCGATGGGTGCTAACTAGCTCCTGCACTCATCCCTTCATGACTGGGACAAGACTTCAGGATCCTGCACCATCTGCTCCCACTGCTGTCCATCTTGCAGGGTGGCTCAGTGAGGGCACTAGGGACTGTGACGGTGCAGTGATGTACACTCACCCACGTGCCTCTCTCACCCATTGCACTGCTGCCTCATCTTCCAAGCATACTGAGGCAGAACACACCGAGTTGTGCTCTTAAACATACGAGGCACAGGACACCCCATGAAGCCTGCTGCACACAGCCCAAACAGAAAATGCTACCCCAGCAAGTCAGCAAGCTGCAGAGAATCAACCATGTAACTGGGCAGGCCAAAAGGGCCATCAAAGGATTCCTCTAAAAACCCTTTGCCTGCCCCTTCTTCTGTGGTGTCCTGAAGTCCATCCTCCGTTTCCTGGGTGTTGGAGAGTAAATGGAGCTTGCCGCTCTCTTCTTCCAAACCAGCCTCCCCAAAGCCAGCAGGAACAGTTGAATGGGACACAGAGAACTATACAGGGATGGCACAAGGGGAAGTCCAGGCAAGCTGCGATCCCCACATCCAACCACAGCTCTGCTCAGCAGCCCCACCCCAAAGCCTGTGAGGCTGTGATCAGGCCCCACAGCAGCACAGGGACACAAACAGAACGAAGCCAAAACACAAGCTGAAACAGAGCAGCACAAGCAGCACTCGGGATGGGGGGAAGGAGAGGAGGGAGAGGACAGAATCAAAATTAAACCAAACAGGAAAAAAAAAAATAGCAGTTGGGGAAGATACCATGGACGTCTGCACTGGGGGTGTTTCTTTTGCAGTGCTTACTATACTGGTTTTGTTGTTGCTCTGTGGCTGAGACAGAAAAACATGGTTTTAGTTCCCCTGCTAGGCAGCAGAGGCAGCAAGAAAATGACAGTATTGCTTCAATCCCAACCATCTCCTCAGACCCTCCCCTCCCCACAGCCTTGATCACTAAGAAGAGGGAGGAAGAAGGAGTGCTGCCGGGGTCACTGGACATCATTCTTCCCTCAGAGGCAACAGATGTTGTAAGGGATGTACCAAAACCCAAATATGCATGGACTGCTAGAGCTATAAGGAAGGAAAAGAGAAGGGAAAAGGCAATAGCCCAAATGGATGAGGAGAATCCTGCAATGAGCACCAACAAAAGTATTTGATGAAGAAGAATGAGGCAGCGGTCCTGAAAAAAAAGGGAAAGAGACTTCAGAAGTGAGACACACACAGTAGTCATGGTGCAGTCTCAGACAGGGGACAAATGGGAATTGTGTCTAAGGAGTCCGAAAGTGTGCAGAAATAGTCCTAGATATGTGATGATGCTGACGGTCCCAGGGAATCTACTTATGCAAAAAAAAGTGTGGTCTGTCCTAGAAAAGGTAGAGAAAAGGTGAAGTATGGTGTGCTGTGTCCCTGCTGTGACCTGAACAAAGCGACTTCGGGACCAAAATACGGAAAGGGATAGGGGTGGGACACAAGGAAAAGGTCATGTAGTTCCCTAAGTAGCAAGTTTTCTGGATGGTGCCCAGTAGTTTTTCATATTTCCCCTCTTCAGTCTCGCAGCTGTGGTAGAAGAATAAAATCTCAGTTTCCTACATTCACACAGCACAACAGTGAGGCAGTCATCAGCTTGCTGCAAAGAAACATGCCATTGAGTCATGTATGTCAGTTAAGTCAGGAATGAGCAAAGCCTACATTTGGAGAAAGAGAAACCTGTGTCCACTAGCATATAGCTTCTAGCCCCCAAATCCAGTCAGTTGTTGGAGAATTAGGCCCATAGTTACACTGCCATGTAACCCCTACACCAGGTATATAGCTCTACTGCTGCCAGACACCAGCAACAGTGTCAAAATCAGCATTGCAGGAGCCTCCTCAGACTCCTTGATTTACAGATTGGGGTACTGGATTGGAGCTCACAGCAGTGCGACCTCATTGCGTGCACTCCATCCCACTGTTCTTGGGGACTGCAAACTCATGCTGCAAAACATGAGGCCCTCATCACCCAGTAACCACCACAAAGAATGCATAAGTCAAATGCTGAGCAGGAAAACATCTGCCAAAGGTTTAATTATGTCAACCAGAGACAGACCCTATGAGGCTGAGAGTTCACACACACCTACTAATACTTTGGCTTTTCTTCACAAGCAGCATGATTGTAGCCTCGGCCTAGCTATCCCTTTTGGAGAGGAAGGAGGAGAAACAGAAGAGGAAGATGGGGCAGGTGGAGAAGGGAGGAAACAGAAGAGAGAGGCAGGAATGAATTCTTTAAGTCCATGGGGGGGCGGGGAAATACTGTTTACTGCCTCTTCCTATACATCCCCTGCACTGTCCTAAGACTTCCCAGAGTTTTGCTTGCTGCAGGTATTTCCAGCCTGATGGCAGAAGAGATGACAGGTCACTGTGGATCTAAGAAGGGAGAACCACCCTGAAAAAATGAATCCCAAGCCATTTTGTGGCATAAACAAAATCAAACTTCTGTCAACACTTGGATCCACCCCTCCACATAGCACTGAGGTTCCTGTACTTCTTCACGAACAGTGATCCTAATGCAGAGATCTATCTTCCAAACCTCTTCCAATGAGAAGAACACAGTACATTTTTCTTACTCCACTGGGATAAAAAGATAAAGTTAGCATGAAAGAAACTGTACAAAAATACTTCCAATTTTTTTGCAAGGCTTTATAACTGAGGCCAAATGGGGGGGGGACACACAACCACCCATCCAGGAAGCCACTGTTTTGAAAAAAGTTGACAGCAGCTTGTTAGGTGTGGGATGTCACCTTACAAAGTGCAAACCCACGCACACCCAAAGCACACAGCCTACCCTCAAAGCTGCCCTGAACACCCAGTTCATCCATCATACTCTTCCCCATCCAGTGGGCTGAAGAAGACCGAGTATCACATTTGCTAGTCCAGAATCACAGAGCATTTTACTCCAGGACAGAGTCCCAAGGAAGTAAGAGGCAGAAGGCACCCTAAGCAGTTTTCACAGCTCTTTCTCAGATGGAGGTATCTGACATACTGAGTTTCCTGCACAGACTCCTGGCCACTTAACCAATGCCCTTCCCTGGAGCCCTTTCCATAGCCCTGGGTACCACAGCCAACTCTTACCACTCCCTCCCCTCCTGCTAGCCCACATCACAGCCACAGGGCAGGCTACGATCCTTGCTAATTCAAAGTGGTACAACTCAAGTTAAAAGAGGCCAATTCACCTAAAAAGGTGCCAGGCTCTTCTTAAGATCAATGTAACATGATTAATTTTGGCACAGCAGTTGGCAGCGCTTCCTGAGCTAGACAAGAGACAGACAGACAGGCACAAACAACACAGAGGGTGCAAGAGAAAGAAAACAGACCAGTGATCATATCGCCGGGGACACACATTTCTAGCCAACTAAAAGAAAGCAAGTACCAACACATGGGCCGTCTCTGGTTATTTGGCCACCTGCACTGCTTCCATGTTTTCTGAGGCTGACACTTACACAGTTTACATATCCCAGCTGCTTTAAAACAACATGCAGATGGAATTTAAGTATTGCTGGCAGTGGGCAGAAAAGGAGGGCAAGAACAGCACAACAAACTCCTGCCCTGGAGTTTCATAAAGGCATGGACTAGTGAAAAGTTGGTCCCTCACATCAGATTTTCCAAGCAGTACTTTGGGATTACTTTTTTGTGTTTACATAGTTTTAACCTGTCATTGGAAGAGGAAAAGCAAAAATATCTTCTAGATATTAATGTGGAAACAAATTATTCTGCTTTCTCAGTACTATAACATTCCTGTTCCTACCTGCAATAGTGGAGAAATATTTCCTGTTATTTTTCTGTGTAAAGGAGATAATACAATAAATTATTTTTGTGCTTTAGTTACTGTTCATATCTCAGTGTCAGAGACAAAGGCCTCATCTAATGGCTTGTGTATGACTCCTTACAATATGGCACTGGCCAATTTTCTCTTTGCTCCCTTGAGAGTGGATTTGACTACTTTTCTGACAGACTCTACGGATGTCAAACATCTGGATGGATGAAAAAAGGAAATGAATAGGACAGGGGAGGCAGTTACTGGGTGTTTGGTCATGCTGGGATACATAAATGAGATTGGGACAAAAGGAAGTTTTGTATTATAGAGGCTCTGACAAACCTTTTCAGTAAGTATGCTACAAAAAGAA